TGCACTCCTTGACCTATCTACCCTGGGGGGCAGGGCCGTGTCCTTGTTTCCACTCTACAGAGGGTGTACAGTGACACAGAGACTTCAAGCGTCTTGCCCAAGGTCACACAAGGGCATTCATGGCACAGCGCAGAATTCAGCCCCTCTCTCCCATCCTTCCAACCCAGACACTGAACAAACCAGCCCCTTCCAGCCAAGCTGCCTCGACCCAGTGGCATTTTATATTGCCCTCTGAATAAACCATAGAGTCCCTGCACAATTAGGGTTAAAGAGGTTAAAGTTCAGAGCCTGCGTCTGCCTGCAACGCCTGCCACTGCCACCTGCCCACCATGCCAGGTCCTGTGATGCAGGCATACTTCCACTAGGGGACAGCAAAAGAATATTGTTGGAGCCTGCTCAGCCTAGAGGGCTAGTGGCACAGGGACAAATTTTCCAGGGACAGGCAAAAATCAGTGGTTTTCAACCTTTTTTTTTAGTTTGTGGACCTCTAAAAGGTTTTGAAAGGATATGTGTACCCCTTTGAATTGTAAGTGCAGATGTTCATATACTTTTGATTGATCATAGTCATCTTTTGCGGACCCCTTAGATATAGTCTGCAACACCCCCCCACCCCAAAGGGTCCACAGACCACAGGTTGAAAACCACTGGCCTAAGTTGTAGCAGGTGCCCCAGGGCCCTGGTCATAGCATCATAGCAAGTTAGGGCTAGAAGGGACCTCAGGAGGCCATCTAGTCCAACCCCCTGCTCAAAGCAGGACCAGCCCCAGCTAGATCATCCCAGCCCAGGCTTTGTCAAGCCAGATTTTGAAAACCTCCAGAGATGGAGATTCCACCACCTCTCTGGATGACTTGTTTCAGTGCTTTACTACCCTCCTAGTGAGAAATTTTTTCCTAATATCTAATCTACACTTCCCTTGCTGCAACTTGAGACCGTTGCTCCTTGTTCTGTCACCTGCCACCACTGAGAACAATCTAGCTCCATCCTCTTTCCAACCCCCCTTCAGGTAGTTGAAGGCTGCTATTAAGCATGGTCCTGGCATGAATCACCTCCTCCAGCAGGCACAGGACACTGGTTGCAAGTGGCAGAAATCCTCCCATTCCTTTCCATAAATAGAGGTTTTATTCTCTAAATAAAGGTACTTCTTAAATAAAGGAATATTTTGCTGGCAAGAAATCCAGGGCAAATTCCAGCAGCTCTATGCAATGGGCTGCCTGGGGCAGAGCAAAGGAGTCATGGAGGGGAATTCCACTGGCCACTTGGCAAGGCCAGCCTGCAGGGGAAGGATGGTGCCCTCAGTAAGGGAAAGTGGCTTCTTTGTGGTTATCAAACCCCTCAGGCTCCAGCATCCTCCTTAGCCCATGTAACACCAGGAGAGCAAGCACCAGCTGAGCTCATGACTCTCTCCAGGCTTGATCGAGGAGCTGGGAAGCCCCCAAAGAGTCAGTCAAGTCACTGGCCTGGCCTCCCAGTGGCCCCCTCTGGAGCTCCCCAGCTCTCAGCTGCCCGACACCCTAGCGTCGCCCAGCCCAGCAGAGACACAGGCTGTAGAGCACTCGTGTTCTGTACTGACCCACAGGTCTAGTGGCCACAATGGAGGCCACAAAACGGAGCTCCTGGGTCCCCGACTCAGAGAGGGAAGCAGGATCTAATGCAGAGCTCATGACTCTCTACCCCTTTAACCACTGCTGCGAAGTGAATGGATGAAGCATCAAGCCCCTGCATTGCAGTTTGGGGACCCCTGAGAGTGGTCAGATTGGGGTAAAGGGAGCCAGGACTCCTAGGGTTTCCCCAGCCCTGGGAGAACATAACATCTAGGGGACAGAAAACCAAACTGGGGGCTGAGACTCCAAGTTTCCTTCTCACACTGGCTCTGCCCCTGCCCAGCTCCATGGCACTGAGGAAGGCCCTTTCCCCTTGGAAGCAGGGGTTCACCAACAGTGGTGCTTGCCACGACCTGCCCAGGTTGCTTTGCCCTCTGGCAGCCCCTGCAGGAAGCTCTTGGCTCAGGAGCCCGGCAGGCTTCTTTCACACCGGCTCTGCAGGAAGCCAGCTGTTGTTTTGCTCTTTCCTGGTCTTGGGAAGGGAGGAGACAGGAAAAACAAGGCCCCATCTCTGCATCCCAGCCAGGCTGCAGCTGCGCTCCAGGCTGAGCCAGCTCCTCTGGGTAGGGTTACCACATTTCCAGTCCCAAAAAAAGGACACCTGTTGGGGGGGGACACCTCACTCCCCAGACAGCCCTCTGGCCCTGCCAGTGCCCCTCACTCCCAACTTGCAGACCCCTGGCCCTGCCGGTGCCCCTCACTCCCAACCCACAGTCCCTCACCCCATCCCCAGGCTAAGTTAGTGCCCCTCAGTCCCAACCCACAGCCCCCCAATGCCTGCTTCTGACCCTCACTCCTGACCTGCAAACCCCTGGCCTTGCTAGTACCCCTCACTCCCAACCCACAGCCCACATCCCTGCTAGTGCCCGTCTCCCAACTCGCAAACACCTGCTGCCCCCAGCCCTGCTGCATTGGGCCCCCAGCTGCCCCCAGCTCAACCAGGCCGCAGCACAGCAGCAGAGAGAGTCTAGCTCCAGTACAGAGGGGGAAGTGGGGGAATGAGGACCCGGGGAACTACAGGCCAGTCAGCCTTACCTCAATCCTGGGCAAGCTGTTCGAGAAAATTATTCTGGCACACATCCAGGAGGGGCCAGC